CAACGCTCCGTGGGCGGGCTGCTCAGGAGTGTCGGTAACCTCCTTGACATTGATTTTTCCTGACTCGACTTCAAGCACTTTGCTCGGCTGCCGGTGGTTCAGCACTTCATGCTGTCTACTCACGCATTTCTCAACTGGAATATGCCTTAGGACATTCTCTCGTTCCTGTGCACTAGTGAGCTCCAACAGGCTGTGGCCTGGCTCCGTCGTTGGATCAAGAAAAAGTCCGGGGTTGGCATCTTTAAAAAGCTTTACTCGCTGATCACGCTCGGCTTCCGGAAGCTTCTGTCGACTATTGGCATCGGGATCCACAATGCTTTGCCGCAGCTGTGCTATGAGCATGGTTTGGGCCTCGAAATGAAGACGTTTGAAACTCAGAACCTCGCCAACACTCAGGCCAGTCAAGTTTGCATCGACCCATTCTTTGATTTGGGAGTCCTGAATATCCTGCCCTGGCACTCCGACTGCATGGGCGACCTGGCCCAGGGTTTTCACCCCGATGCCTGCCAGCTTCGTAATGGACTCGGAGGTTATGCCATATGCCTTGCATCGCTGCTCGAAGTGGGCAGTGGAGTCAAGGTAAGCGGACATGGTTCAGAAAGAAAGCTACGTAGGTTTGACGAAGAACAAACTAAGATCCATCAAAGAACACATGTAATGCAATTGAGGGTTTCTGGGAAGCTTCAGTTGTTTCTCTGATTTGCATCAGTCGACATGTCTGAACCATCTTTGCCAAAACTTGCGCATGCACAAGCAACTTAAACCTCACTCACAATACACGTCAAGCTACCTGCACATGTTCATCCCCCTGCACATGTTCAGCTCAACAGATGACACACTTCCCCTCTGGCATCGCACGGACACCATCTTTTCACTTCCCCTTGGAAGGACTCACTAGCCCTGAGGCTACATCCTGTGCTGCAGTTCGCAGCCTACTTGTCGGCTTTCCGACATGTCTGGCAAAATGCCGTTGCTTCTCGTGAGCCTTGGAGCTTCTCAAAATTTTGGGACCCTGAGCGCCCGCAAGCGAAGACCATTGTTCCTCCCTCCGAGGTGAAGACGATCCTGTGTGCGATGCGAGACTTCACATGCACAGCAACTTCGTGACGCGGCCACACCGCGTCCAGCCTTGGTACCTTGGCAGGCATTCTGGGGGGGGCTTCCCCCGAATCACTGGATGCAGAGCTGGAGCTCTCACTGGAAGATGATGATTCGGAGTCGGAGTCTACACAGACTGGACCAGGTAGGTCGGCAATGGGACCCGCTACAGCAGCGACTTCAGTTTTCACGTCCGAGCCTGAGGGACGAAGGGCCTGATCCTGCTCATGCAGCGTCCTTGCATTCGACTCGAGAGCTTGTGACCTCAAGGGAAAATACTCTGACCGGGCAGCATCAGGTGTGAAGCGCTTCGCAGCCACTTCCAATAACATGCGTTGCAGCTCCCGCGCGGGAGCCGTGGCAAGATCCATAGCATACAAGGCTCGTGAGCTGACGGTCGCCGAAGTGTGGCGGCCCAACACCGTACAAACAGCGTCACTCAATCCAAACTTTGCCGCCCAAGAGAGAAGGGTTCGTTTCAGTGAATGCGATGACACACATGACAACCTGTCTTTGCTCGACACTGGCAGAAGAATCTTCCGGAGGAAATTTGTGATCTCATGTGACCTGATTTCACGCAGGCAAAGGGTGTCGCCATATGAGTTGGCGGGGGCCCTCAGGATGGGCCCCCTCAACTCACCCTCTAGCTTCAAGCCTGCATCTTCCAAACACTCCTGAGCTGCATTCAGCCACGTCTGTCCGTGCACCCCGATGGCCGGGATGAGAACCGGCAACAACTCTCTGCAACGCGCCTGTGCACGTCGCGTCTTGTGCTGACCCAGCTCAATGATGAGAAATCCTCCCGCCGGTGAGTGGTCATGCGTGACATTCTGAACATCCGCCAGGTCAGAATGTCTGGCTCTTGCATATAAGGCTAAGAGTATGTATGCTACCATCGCAAGGTCGTATTTGTGCAACTCCCGCTGCTCCAGCAGCCGGTGCAGGAACAGGATCTCACTCACCGTGAGGGGCGATGCTTGCTTAATCCAACCCTTGCCGGTGCGCATCGGTTCAGTGATTCCGCTGACACGTCTACTCTTGAGGATGTGCGTAAGGTCCAGACCCAACACATGGTGTAAGAACCGAAACATGGATACACAGTCGGCTCCTCGCGACGGGGGCGAGCCTGAATGTCTCAGGTGGCTGAGGTACTTCCACACGGTGGCCTCGTGTAGGTAACAGCCACTCTCAACACACGACTCCATACACCACTTCAAGTAATTCGCAAGGTTGCCTACACGCTTGTTTAGTGTGAGAGGACTCCTCACCCCGATCGCCGCTTCCAGCGACTCAGCATCGACCTGCCCTTGGTGCAGAAGTTCCGGGGGAACAAAGGCATTACCCACTAGCTCTAAGTTGATGGCCAACTTGTGGATTCCAACCTGAAGCAACTCCTCACGGCGTTCAAGATATCCCACATCCTTAACAACCTTCACAACCAGCTTAAAGATTGGCTCGGACGGCGAGGGCAGTTTAGCTGCTGGCGAAAGACTCGGTGCAATCACAGCGGGGGGCGGCTCCGGCATGCTACGTCTTGGCATCCCTTTCAAGCTTGGCAAGCTCGGCAAGTTATCGGCAAAGATGCTCTTCATGGGACCTCGCTCCCACGGAAGCTGAAATCCTCGTGGCGGCACTGGGTGCCGTACAAGCTCGTTCATGACCTGCTCTTGTACAAAGACAGGATCGGCCTCACGACTGCAAGCCGACACCTGTTCGGTCACTTCGCTCATGCATTCCTCACTACCTACAAGACTGTGGAGCGCCCTGTCAAGAGCAGCCTCAGCTTCTGCATCAGCGGAAAGGTTTCGCAAGGCCTCACTAAACCCATCGTCGTATTCTCGATAATACTCTAGCTCCTCTTGCTCATCGAAATCATAATTTGCCAAGTGCTCTTCCCGGGCCGGCTCGGCCGGCTGAGAAGGTACATCGCCCGGCAGCTCCTCGCCAGGGCCCTGTGCATCCTCCAAAGAGGCTGGAATGCTTTCGGAAGCGACCGGAAGCTGCGGTTCTCCGTCTTCCAAAGCTATGGGACCCACACTCAACGGTCCCGACTCCAACAACACCCCTGCAACTCCTGAAGCCACCCCCACATTGTCCGAGGAAAGTGCGGGATCTGAGGAGGCGGAGACATCTGGTGCGGCCATCCCTGGGTGGCAGCAGCACAAAGCAACTGAGGCAGGACTTGGGTATTCACAAACCAAGATGTCTGCAGAAGCAGCAAGCGCTCCTGGCAGGGCAGAAAGGCCCAAAGGTTGGCAGTTAGTGCAGAATCGTCGAAGAGGTCTTCGAAGCACCCAAGCACGACACTAGAAGAGCCCGAGGCGGGGCTGGCAGACTCAAGCGGCCCGTGCAAGCGGAACTCTAAAGCCGTAACCCGAAGTTGCAAAGAGGAGATCTGATCCTGTAGCAGATCCTCAACAGCCCGCAGGGAGCTGGGGTGCACCACCGACGAACCCGCACTGGTGGCGGAGGTATGGCTCATACAAGGAGGCTGCACCTCGTGATAGCACCCGGAGCCTGCTAGAATGTCTAGGAGCTTAGAAGGCCTCGAATCAAAATTTTTCTTCTGAGCCACTGTGGCTCACACTGCACGGAGATGTATTCTGCTGCACCAAGTCTCATCAGAAACAAAACTCCCCCGAGTTTTTCAAATCAAGAATTTTAAAACGCTATCAACAAGTTGACCGCCAGCTGATTTGCCGGGTTCCAAACCTGTGCGTTTCAAACCTGGGTTTGGAACCTGCTGGGAAGAACCGGTGGCTTGTAAATGGTTAACATACTTTACGAGGTTAGCTATCTGTTTACAAACAAATGTAAAGGGTTAAGTTGGTTTAGCTATAGGGGTTAGCATAGCTTAGAAAAGGGGGTTAGTCTAAGTAACATAAGGGGTCCCTTATACGTCTAAAACCTTCCAGGCCCTGAACATAAAAGCCTCAAGCCCTAAACCCAAACCCTGCAAAACACAAGTCTTTTTTTTGCATGCCGGTCGTTCACGGTCTAACCTCACCCCTCGTTTGGCCTCAGAGATTCTGCATAGGCTGTAGCCTTCTGCAGGCCGTAGCCTGAGATTCTGCAGCCTTCTGCAGGCCGTAGCCTGAGATTCTGCATTTCTGCAGCACTTGAGGCCGTAGCCTTATAAACTCCCATGGGCCCCTCCATTTCTGCAGCACTTTTTAAGGCCGTAGCCTTTCAAGCTTTTGCATGGCCCTGGATTGCCAGCTGCATTTTCAGCTGTCGCAAAACTTTCGCCAGTAATATTCGGAATACTAGACGATGCACTGTTGGCACCAATGGTGCTTGTGGCCCACCCTGCACCTGTTGCACAGCTGCATGCATCCTTCAGTCTCGCATGTCCCCGGGCAACAGCTGGGTAATATTACCCATGAGTCATCATCAGTGCTTGCTTGCCATGCTGGGAGCCATACTGTTCCATCTCTTTGGCTTTTTCCATCCGCCTGCATACAGACCCCATTGCAGGCTGCACGGCTTGGTCTGCCTTTGGCCTTGGCCTTCTCTGTTTTTAGAGTTCGCAGCACCTTTGGCCTTGGCCGGATATCACAGCAATCGCCCGAAGACAGGCGAACGGAAAGCTCTATATATATATATATAATATACATATAGCATTTGAGCCACATGGCGGCAGCAGATTTCACACATGATATAAGGCACATGAGACAGCATGCTTGACGACCCCCATACATGCCCGATGACCCAGTGAAAACCCTTCGCATGCATCTGTTTCCTTGCGATGCACTCGTGTGTCAGCAGCTACTTTGCTGCATGGTATATAATGATCTATCTGTGCAGCATGCTAACCGATTTTCGGTGCAGTGCTCATGTGTGCATACACACATAGAAGCAAAAAGTTGGTTGGCATCGCTTTCGAGCCCTGCACAGCTGGCTTAGCAGCCGTTCTTCTTCTTCCACAGCAGAATGGCCTCTCTGTGGGCCTCTCGCTGGCACTCTACCACTTGCTGCTCCGAGAAGCCTTGCTGCTTTGCCCACGTTCCGGCTCGCTTGTACATGCGAGAAGCATAGTTCTTCTGGATGCAGCCGTCCTCCCAGACAATTTGGAACTTTCGCTTTCCATGCGAGCCTTGGGCTTGCTGCTCCTTTGCTTTGCCTTGGCCTTTCTTCGAAGCACTCTTGTCCTTGGACTTTCCTTTGCCTTTGCCCTTGCCCTTCTTCTTTGGATCTTGGCCTTGGCCATTCGTTTTTGTCTTGTTCTTGGCCAAGTTTCCTTGGCCACTCGCTGCAGCTGCAGCAGCCGGCTTCTTCAGAATCCCAGCTTTGCGATCTTTGAGCTTTCGGAACAAATCTTCGTCCTCGAGATCGTTCTCGGCAGGGAGCGACTCCGTTGCTTCGGGTTCTTCGGCTGGAGGCAGGGCTAGCTGCAAGGCCGACTGTCGCCCTGGCGAGGTCTGCTGCGTCGCAGCCGAAACCGCCTGGGCTGGGTTGCCCAGAGCAAAGCCGACCCCGGCACTGCTGCTGCTCAGCTCGCCTCCTGTGATGGAGTTCCGTCCAGGGGTCCTGCAGCAGGTATACAAATGGAAAAGCATGCATGGGCTGTGTATACAGATGCAAAACAAAGGAAAAGATAAAAGAAGCATGCAGTCCTCCTTTGCAAGATATTGGCGCCTGCAGCAAGCTGCAGCTCCCTTCGCCCACCATCCTGGATGGCATTCTGACCGCAGCCCTGGTCCAGCAGTCTTTCCAGTCGCCCGAAGCACTGCTCCATGCGGCTCTGGAACTCGTTCGCATGCTGCTCAGACACGGCGGCCTGGCCATCTGGCCTCGGCAGCCTCTGCTTCTTGTTCTTCTGCAAGAGCTTGGAAGTAGATCGCATCGGAATGTGAGCTAGCCAGATCCCAGCCCTCACGTCTTTGCCCATGGGCGGGTCCTCAGCCTTGTAGGCTCGGTCGAACAGAGCCTTCGGCAAGCTGCTGGGGTCATCGGGATACGTGAGCAGGCCGACCTCAGTCGGCTCTGCATCCGTTTTCACGGATTCCCAAGATCTCTTGAAGACTTGGACCTCTTCGTAGATCTCTTCATATGTCGGCATCTGACTGAGCTCGCCGGCTGCCAGTGCCAAGAGGAAGGCCAGGCCTTTCTTGACCGTCTGTTCTGTGAGGTTCCTCAGGCCCAGCTGCAGATACCTCTTCAGAAGGATTTCCAGCCTTGCCGGTGCTGGCGACTTTTCCAGCATAGACCACTCAGTGACCGTGATGAAGTTCTCCGGCTTCAGCAAGGTCTGCGGCTTGCTTTCCTCCTTTCGCTTGTTCGGCGTATATGTAGTATCTGGCGGCGGTGTTGCAGCCGTGGCCGTTGCCAGAACTTTGGCTTCAACTTTTTCAAGCAACCGTTCTGACAGGGTGCTCTCGAAGCTCAGATCCTGGATCGTCTGCTTCATATGCATGGCTTGCCCTAACGACAAAGAGCCAAGGCTCTCCAGCCGGGTGCACCAGCTGTTCATCAAAGCATCGACCGAAGCCTTGCTCCCACTTTGTGCCCACTCGGCCATAGGGCCTAACTCGGCCTGCAACTCTCGGGCCATCTCGCCGTGGCGAGATATATATAGCCGTGGCCAGAAAAGGAGAATCCAGAAGCCCCCTCTATAGGAGCCAAGATGCTACAACCCCACTACAGGAGCCAAAATGGCAGCTGCATGCACATCCATGGAAAAAGAGCATGGTACATGTCGCCTGCATGTGTGTGTACGTGCAGATTCCCAAAATCCAGGATGCATGCAGGATCAATCTTTTTCATCGGAGGGAAGCAGGCAGGATGATTTGTCGTCGGCCTCCGGACATGTCTCTCCATGTGCATGCACACAGAAAGTCTCTGCGTGGCAGCAGATGCAGGCTGTCAATGCAGGAGCACTCCCCCACGAGGTCATCGCAAAGCAGAGAAGAAATGGAATGCACAACACTGTAGGCTTGCCCTGCCAGTTCCACGAATGCCCAGACAAGGGCACACTCCAAGCAACCGTTCCCTTCAAGCAGCACCGCATCGCCACGACATATCCGTTCCCCGGAGGGCAGCCTGACTTTTTCTGCCACATTAAGCACTTGTGCCGAGGTCAGCTCCGGAATGATTGTGCGAAGTGCTGCCGCCTTCCTCCGAGAAGCTGGCTTCGGGTCCTGCAACTGCAGCATCGCTGCGAAACAATCAGCTCTTGCCAAGCAATATAGTTCTTGTCCAAGAACTTCTCGGAGAAGACCCTGCTCGTAAGCAGAAGTCTTCTTGATGTCCTCGGCGAATCTCTTGATAGTGCGATGCTTTCTTTCGTGAGTGTAGCACTGAACCATGAAACCCCACTTTTCCAGGTGCGAACCGAAGTGGAGAAGCCAATGGAACTTGGAATGCATGCGGTCCTGCCACTCAGCAGCATGCACGGCTTGCAAGAAATCGGAAACGTGCTTTCTCATCTGGCCGGGCGAAACCGCTCCCTCAGTGCGAGCTCTCTGGCAGCATGCCACGAGTTTGTCCAGCTGCAAGAAACATTGGATCGCTTGCACTGCCTCAACATTTGCATTTGCCCTGGCGAGCTGCCTGAAGAAACAAGCCAATATTGGAGACAGTGTCAAGCCTTCGGAGGCCGTGCATTTGAAGGTCTCGGCTTCCTTGCATGCTTTTGCTCGGGAGTGACCCAGCATCCCTTCGGCCTTGGCGGAGATGTTCCGGGGCAGGGTCCACTTGGCCACGTACTCACGTACTCGTCGGCGATTTCCCAGACATTGGGAAACTGCTTCTGCAAAGCTTCCAAAAGAAGCCAGGTCACTGTCTGGAAGACACCGGAGACCAGCAGGGTGTGCATGCTGTCGTGGCAATACTGTGAGACCGGCCGGACCAGCCATCGTTGATCCTCTTGTTGCAGCAGGGAAGAACTATTATAAGTCCAGCCGGTGGCTTGCTGCCACGTGCTGAAATCTGCAGCATTCAGAAGCATCTTCTTCTCTGCCAGTTTAGCCATGGCCTCCTGGATGGATTGGTCGGTCGCAAGCGAAAGCTTACTTTCTCGGATCTCAGAGGAACCGACCACGGGGAGCCCACTGCTGTGCAGGGTATCACATCGCTGTGCAATTACATTCCTGCATAGCATGCACATGCGGGTCCCAGCATCCCCCTTGCAGCTCCATAGAGCTTTATGGGCACCACCGTCTTGAACGATCATTGATAAAACCACCCGGAAAAGGACGGGCGGACCTCCTGGTCGCTGCAACGATATGCACCCGTGCTCCAAATGGTTGGCCGGTCGCATGAATATGTCTCGCAGGATTTCGAGATCCATTGAGAAACACCTGCTTCGGCCTTGGCCATCAGGCTCGATCGGAGCAATCCTATGCAAAGCCACGACTCCTCGTGCTGCAATGCATAGCTTCCAAGTTCTACGAACGAGGCATAGCAAGCCCAGATTTTTCTCTTCGTCTGGACTGCTAATGGATTACCCGGGACGATCTCGTCCGTATACAGGATCAGCCGCCATGCCTTGCTGGGGCTCGGGGGATTCTTGTCGATGCACGCCCAAAAATTTCGGGCAAAGTTGCTCTCGGCATCCGAGATAGCAGCTTGGAGCAGAGCCCAAAAATCGACACTGGGTATCTGCAGCTCTGCACCATCTGTCTGCAAAAGTGACAGACGATTGAGGATCCTATTCTCTTTCAGGGGTTGCCAGGCAGCCTCGGCTATATGTTTTCTTTGTGTGAGTTCCGGGACACCCTCCTCCCGGAGAACTTTGCAAACTTCGGACAAAGCCGAGGCTGTGAGATGGGGCAATTTCCTTCTCAGAGCATTCACCTTCTGAAGCTTCGCTGGTCTTTCAGCAAAAGCATCGGTGCTGCTGGAGGCCATGGCCCTATATACTCACCACGGCACCGCACCAACAGCAAATGCCGGAACATCTCCGTGGAGAGTCCCTTCTTCTCCCTGTGCCTGCAGCAGCAAGCAGCCACATACACGCCTCCGTGGAGGCTTCCACACGCCTCCGTGGAGGCTCCCACACGCCTCCGTGGAGGCTTCCACACGCCTCCGTGGAGCTTCTCGCATCCTTGGATGCTGGGTCTCCATGGCAACAACAAACCAAGCAACAGGACGGGTGACACAACAAATGGCCCCAGGAAGGGGTGCCTGTCTGCGAACACAACTGCACCAAACCTTGTCTGTGCTCGACTCTGGGCATCTGTATGCATGCTGCACGGCTGCTTGGGCCCGGCTTTCTGCTCAGAGAACACATTTCGGCAGGGCCACGAAACCCCAAAAATATGATATGGAAAAAACTATATCATCTGAAAACATAGTCAATCATATGATATAGTATATAGTAAAAACTATATCATATGAGGCCAAAATATTGCACATCTGGCCCCACAGACTTAAATGATATAGTAGAAACTATATCATATGGCCAGCGAAGCCATCATATGATCTAGAATATACTATATCATATGGTTTCCTTTCAATATGTATGATATAGAAAAAACTATATCATATTTTCTACGTTTGGATAAGGTTCCAATCTTAAGGTTAACAGAAAATTATTCTTTAAAAAAAACCCTAAACCTTAGAAGAGAAAAAAGCGCGGAGACATTTTTTTTTCACCAGACGGCAGCCGGCACTAGGACACTGGCTTTGCACATCTGCAAGACTTCAGCAGCGAAGATCTTTCTTTTTTTGGCTTGAGTGGGCCTCGTCGACTACAGTTGTAGCACTCGGTCCCTACAAACAACAAACCAAAACAGGGTGAAGCACGTCTCAGACATCCAAACAACCGTAGGCTGTCGCCCACAGCTGTCTATCACCATCGGTGGAGCTCAAGCTCCGGCTGCCGTTCTAGTTCCGTTGAAACGGACAGCTCCGAAGCCTTGTTGTGTCACGATCATGCACGGAAAATCTACAAGTTCTTAAGAGAGCCATTGATCCAGCAGGCGCTGCATCTTTGCTGGCTTGGAAATAAGATTCCTGCGCAGGAAGTACAGCAGTTAATACTGGCCTTCAGTGTACAAAGTCTTAAGGTGGTAAAAAACTGAAGCGTGTCTGTGTCAGACTCATAAAAAAGCGGCATGAGCTCTCGCCAAACTGATGCACTCTGCTCCGTGAAAGTCTAAAGCTTCTTGGAGACAAGCCGGCCATGGACGGCCACCGTCAGGCATAGCATCTGATTGACGATGGTGATGGCACCCGGCTTGGCAGCTGGAACATGACAAGAACCAGTTTGCGCTGGCGCGAGAAGGACCCTACTTTTTCGGATGACTCCAACAGAATGCACTCTCCAGGTCTGGTGGTGCTCGTAAACATCGTTCTAACAGCATATGTCTCACACTGCGTGACTTTCTTTGCCAGACTCGCCACCGTCGCTGTTGCAATGCTGATTGCAGCCTGGTTCCCATCGGATCAGCAACTTCCAATTTTTCCGGAAGACGGCAGGCGGCTGTGTGACAAGCTATCTGAAACAAGCTAATCATGACTTGCCGTAGCTCTCAGGGCCGCCTCCTTCCGGATCCTCCGGACTTGCCCTTCCGGTGGCACTTCGAATCAGAGGTCTTCTCAGAGCCATCGAAAGCAAGAAGACGAACTCCAACAAACTTCTTTGCAACACTTGACACATTCAACGCCGCGCGCACGTTATTTGCCCTGCGGGCGTCTGCAAAGAACTGCTTTTCTTACTCGGAAACTACTCTCGGCGGGACTCCGAGGTGCAAGCACATTGTCTCGCCTTTGCGCAGCTGCATCTCCGGTTTGCCGTAGTGTTCTGGTTGCGCGGTTCTCAACAAGGATTTCTACTTCGCAGCACGCCTGCGCTCTTCAATGCATGCGACTGCAGGCCCAATTCCACCGCTTGGTGGCAGCATCAAGCATGTTTGCATTGATTTTGTGCCTTCTTGTGCCTGTGTCTTCTTTGTTGCAACCACTTTTTTGACTCATCACTGTTTCATCCTTGCACATTGGATGCAAAGAAGAGTGTGGAACACAAAAATGAGGTTCAAGCCAAAATACAGTCCATGCAAGAGGAGAGCCGGGTTTGCCAAATTCCAACAGTGAGTTTCTCGAGCCAGGGTTCGCACAGAAGAAAACTCGATACTTGAAGTCTCACGAAGTTTTTGAGTGTGTTATGACCATCGACACATGTCGTAGGGTCTTTTTTCAGAGATTGCCTCTGATTCCACCGTGGACTTGTGGACTTGGCGTGTTGGAAAACTTTTGGTTGCAAGGTGTGTCGTGCCAAGATTTCGATTCGTGAAATAAATTGCTTACAATCTGCACCGCTTGCGAAAAAGAATACAAGTTTCAATCGTTTTGGATGAAGTTTTTTTTTTGGCTGAAAGAAAATTTTTTCAGTTTGCCCTTGTTTTGGAAAGGCAATTGTGATTTGTGCTTAACCCAGTGGCAAGCGGATGAACTCGCAAATTCTGGCTTTTCCCCCCCATGAAGTGAAGAGCTTGTGCGATGTTTGCTTTCCGTACAATCTGGATTGTCTTGTATTTTTATTGGGTTGTTGCAATTAAATCGTTTGTTTACCATATTGTGTGCAAGTGGTTTCCGCGATGAATAAATGTTCCGTAATCAGCCCCATTGTGGGTGCTTGCCTTGTAAGTACTTTCCATGCATGGCGCTTCGACGTTCAGACAATTGTTGTGTTAAGCCGTGCGACCACCATTATTTTTCGAGCTGCATCATTGACATTGTAAGTTCAAACGACACAGTTGTTGCGTGTTCATGGACGGATTTTGGACGTGCCGTTGTTTACATGTCGCATGAATCTCCGTGCTTATAGTGTTCGCGGTGTCATGTCCATGTTTTTGTGTTGCAGCACTTTCAAACCCGTTGTTGCATGCACTGTTTGATACTTGATACCGTCCGGGAAGCACGTTTGGGAATTTTGCATGATTTAGGGCGAATGCACAAGGATCCTTTTTTCCGTTGCTGTTCAAGGCCCGCAGCGTCCGCCTGCCTTTGTTCCGCCACGCCGTCAATTAGACGGGGTGTTGGCGGGACCGGCAGGCTCAGCTGACTTGACGTCAGCACAGTTAACGGTGTTTCGGGCATGTGTAAGTATGGCTTGGAATGGATTTCCCCAATTCTCGCACAGGTGGCCTGCAATCCGTCCCTGATGGCTGGCAATGTGTTCAAGCACGTCGCATCATGCTTTCAGGCTCAGTCCCAGTTTCATCTTCGTGTTTCATGTGATTTTTCTGATGGGTGAGTGTCGGCTTGCAGCTTTTATGGCTGGGCATTGATTCGGTTTGTGTTTCTTCCGCAGTTGTTGCTGCTGCTAGTGTTGTTCCTGCTGCTTTTGTAATCTCCGTTGCTTTGTCTGTTTGTTGCTGTTGCTTCTGTTGCTGCTATCGTCGCCTTCGCCATCGGTTGTGCTCCTCAGGCTGTTGCCCGCCGCTGTGTCTGCCGCTGTTTCTGCTTTCCTTGCTGAGTGACCAACAGTTTTGGATCTTAGCCATACATAAGCTTGGACGTCTTTCTCTGCTGTTTCGGCTCTACGTATGCAGGTAATGTGGTTGGTGGCGTTGGCGCCAAACGCTGGTGCATTGGACGCCAATGATGTCCGTGCAGGGCCCCAGGAGACATTGCTGGGAGCATGGCTATATAGCCATACAGTGTGTTCTCGCTTCGTGTAGGACCTTGACGTAAACTATGTCGCCGAGATGTTGGACAAGTTGCAGGATGGATGCCAAAACTTGCGTGACGAGATAAGGATTTGCGAAGTGTTCTGTTGTGTTCAGGTTTTTATCAAGAAGCAAAGCTACGTCACACACGAGCATTTCAACAGCGAGTTGAAAAGACTCCGGGGAACTATGGCGACTTTGGGCGACTCTCGGCAAGTGCTCCCTTCTTTTAGGAACGGGTTCGTTGTCTCCGATGCATCAAGATGAGGACGCACCAGATTCCAAGATCCTGCAGAGAGCAGTGCAGAGCACTGAGATGGAAAGGACCTGCTTTGACCAGTTGCGGAGCTTGGCAAACGGTCACAACATGCCGAGTAGATGAGAGGATGGAGGCAGAGGCAGCCGCTTTGGAAGCGATGCAGTACTACCACACAGTCCGAGCAGCATCCGGCTCGACAGGTCTGCTTCAGAACAGCATGCGCATCGTGTTTGTGCCAGTCCCGTTGTGAACAGGTGGTGCGCCCAGCTGTGATTTTCTGACGTGTGGGCACCATGCAGTATGCAAGCCAGAAGCTGAGTGGGGTGCATGATGTTGGACCAAAGCATGCAATGTGGCGGTGGTTTAGCACATATTCCAATCTGCGCGAGGTCCGAGCAAGACAGGGCATTCTGTGAATGCGTGCTCCACTCGAGAAAGTTATGTTGAGTCTGTTCAGAAAGTGTCTTGCTGTTTCGCCGGGAAATTCTGTGACAAGGTTCCGTGCTTCAGCGGCGATGGCTTTACGTGCCGGCCTTCCAAATGCCTTGCAGAAACTGTTTATGCTCCACAGCATCTTGAATGCAAGCAAAGCCTTGATGCTGAAGCTGCTGGGTTCCAAGTTGCCCTCTTCCGTGGCTGCTCACGCTTGAAGCACTCGGAGGCTTGTAGCGCCATATTCTGCCAGCGGCACGAAGCCGGACCCGATGATGGCACGTGATGTCAGCCAGGGGCTTGTGATTTTGCAGAGCTGCCATGACGGGCAGAGACTGCGACACTCGAACGTTGCTGAAGGTTTGTCGTCAATCGGCCAGAACGGCTTCTTGGCTACACGATGTTTGGTACTTGGTCTTGCCGGACGTAGGTTCCCTCATGAGTTTTCATGCTGTGATCTACTTGCACTGCATCCCCAGAGTCTGAGAACATGCCATGTGTTGTACTGCTTGGTGCAGTCATCTTCACGTTTTTTGGTATTAGCTTCCCGAAACCATACGGCCATAAGAAGCAGAGGCTGGCGGCAACATGTTGGTTAAATCAAAACGACAGAAAGTCCAACTTAGTTTATCCGCTGACCACAAACACCAAAAGAGTGCTGGGAAGGAAGGAGCAGTGCGTGACATGTTACACAGCAGATGGGATAAGCCCCAACAGAGCAGACCGAAGGCCCCATAGTCCGTTGCCGCATTGCACTACTGGCACTACTTTCATGGTTCGGACCTTCTTGTTTTGGTAAGGGTTGTACATCATCTAGGAGTGAAGATCGTTCAGATGTGGCCCTGTAGAAGGGAAGTAAAGAGGAGCTGGAGCCGATCTGATAAACAGCACCATCGTAAGCAAATAAGAGACCAGCCCAAGTGCCCAAGACGCTTCTTGCGCCCTTCCTGCTGGAATCGCATGCGAAGCTAGTGTCTCGCGTGTTGAAATCGTCCACGTGAGTGACCGGATTTCAACAGGTTTGGTGGTAGCCGTGCGAGATGAGACTTTGGGCTGCAAGTGCGCTGTGTTCGGACGGACTGTCTTGCCGGGACATCCTTTTATGAAAAGCTAAGGCAGCGTGGAAACCGTGGGTTCCTGAGCATTGGACGCATGAAGTCCAATGAGATCATCTGGGGAGACTGGCAGCTCTTCTCTGGAGAGTCCCAAGCCTTCGACCTCACCGTAGCTGCTTGGATGCGAAGCGCCTCTGCGAACGTCACAGTCAAGCATGAGTCACGCCATTCCTTGCTGTCAGCAAGGTTGGAATGGGCGAGCGCTTGCTCATTGCATACAGAGATTCGGAGAAGAAAGGTGCAGGTCGACTGTTGCAGCGCTATACTGCTTTGCCATGCTTCGCCGAGAGGTTCATGCATACTGCCAAGGTTATTTGGTCAGCGGGCAGCTGGACAGCGCGGACCTGACCGGCTTCAAAGACGCTTTCCATGCAAGAATCAAGACCATGTTCGGTGCACGCCCAAACCGCCCTAGATCTCTTCTGGATTGTTGTCAGGTGCAGATGGGGCAGCCATACCTGTTGCACAAGAGCTTGCAGCAGAACCTGGCTTGCAGACAGCAGCCGCTTCCGTGCGTCGGAACATGAACTTGCAACAGCCTGCGGGTCAATTCTCGCAAGGCGGGTGGCGTTGGTGGCATTGTCAGCGTCTCGGGCCGTGTGCCTTCACGCTGCTGCCGAGAAGAAAGCAGGTTTGCGGCTGGAATGACTTTGGGGAACTCCTGAGTATACGCAAGCACATACCGGTATTTATCGCATTGGCTGTGAGGGAGCATCCAGCTTAATCATTGCTTGGGGCGCAACATCCTTGACATAAATAGCTCTCCACGAACATCTTATGAGAATCCCATCAGCTCAAACGCAGAGCTCAGCCAACAGCTTTCCGCATAGCCAAGCAGGTGTATCCTGGTGCATGTTGTGTCAAGCACATTTTAAGTGGAGTCTGTCTCTCACGCCCAAGTCCCGATTCCGAAGTCGGGTGGATGATAAGCTGCGGTATGAGGTACAACATCGGTCGAGATTCGTACAAAACAAGCCCGGAGCGTGTAAATGCTGCTACAGCATGTGCTTCTCAGATGGCAGAAGGCTCGAGATGCTTCTGTCAGGAAATGCATACCTTGTGCAAGCGCATGCTGGGGGAATTAGTTTGCTCGGCAAATATCACTTTGGAGCTTCTCGGCTGCAATATGGCCTTGCTGTTCAGAACATTTCAGAATGGTCCAAGAGTGTGAAGAGTCAAAGTCAAGGGTGAGGCGCCGATCTCTCACATGGCGACAGCGAAGCTGAGCGAGGACTTGTCTTGACACGCTAGTGCCGTTACTGCCCAGCCCATGGGCGCATGTTCCACAACTCATGACGCTCAGATGTGTAGAGATGCTCGCAGCGAAGTTGCAGTCACAGGATTCCTTCGTGGTCGCTTATCGTCAGCAGCCCCCAGACAGTCACGAAATTGGTCTCACATCGAAGGACGCGGTTGGATGTCGTTGTGCGGTCTTGATGTCTCGTTGCCCTATCTTGCTAAATAGGTATGTGAAAGCCCAAACTTCGTTGTGTTGTGGCGGTGGTGATCTTGAAAGGAGCTGTCTGCCACTTGGATGGGAATATCCGATGCTTGGCGAAAGTTCGAAGCAGTTCTTCCGCAATGAAACGCCCGGCAGCTGTCGGCTCTCGCTCAGGATGATGACTTTCTCATTGTAAGCCCGCACCAGTTTACACTGGAGCCAGATCGTCCGGACATGTACCACCGAGATGTTGTGACCCAGCATGCAGAAATCAGCCTCAGTGCTGGTGCGACTTTTTTTAGTGCTTGCGAGACCAGCTTGTGGGATAGAGTGTATGACCCGTGACACAGAGCATCCGACATTGATTTGTATCAACCTTTAATGGCCTCCAAGCCTGCCACAGTGCCGCGTAGATATTGTGGGGTGACTCTTCCTGCGCTTTGGAATGCTGATCGGGCTCCTGAGCCCTAAGTTGGAGCAGCTGGAATCGTGGCAATGGTCATAAACAGGGATACGGACTCTTTTCAGCTCCACTAAGTCTGCTTAGCGTGAATTGGTGATTCGGTGCACTTTGCTACTTTCCGACGGTGTGCATTGTCAATTGGTTTCCGACTGAGGCATTGGTCTCTCAGAATTTGTTCGCCTACTCTTACTATTCTGGTTCGGAGAGGAAGACCAAGATGTCGTTGGTCCATGTTGATCCGGCGTCGCATTTAATGACAGCAGTTGGTGATCCTGTTGTGGCTTTGCGGCAATTCCCAGTTCTGGCATGCTTCGGTTCGTTGTCGTGTTTGCATGTCTCTGAACGTGTCCTCGACTGTCTCTGCAGAGGTCCTCAGCACTGGCTACAACTCCTTAGTCGGAGCCGTGTCACTGCCTGCGGGACCAGCGACGCCGAGTACGTTCACCTACATACAGCCTGCTGGCGCCAAGAGCATTGCAAAGGTGGGACCCGAAGACGTTGATGTTTCCGAATTTATTTTCTCGCTGAGTTCAGTCCCAAAGGTCTGCGGTGTGAGCTCGGAGGGCCGGATATCTGCTTGCAAGGATGTGAGCTGGGCAGAGGCTGTGAATGCATTGCCCAACCACTCGGGATGAACGCTTGTTCGTGTCCTGGATGAGCAAAGGCAGAAGTGGAGACAGCTACTAGCATCAAGCTGCCAGACGGTCGCTTGCTCTTCGCTTTTCAAAAAGAAGGCTGCTCGCCTGTCGTGGCCATCAGGTGTTGTCATTTCAGTTTTGTAGCTCCGTGCGGCTGAGGGACTGTGCAGACTCGGTTCTTATCGGCGGAAGAAGCATCTGCCCAGGACAACCGTGACAGCTGCACGTGTTTACAGCAGAAAGCTTTCACGTTTTCGATTCCAGGACATCAACATGGCTGTCGTCTGAGTGGATACACGACTATCATGCGATGGCTGTAGAAAAGCGACAAACTTGATCTGCAAGGAGTTCTGCCAGATAAGTGGTTCCGAACCGATAAAGGCTAACGAAGCATTCATGTGCTCACGCAGTCCTGGTCAGGCTCGAATCTCGGGAGGCTTCCACAGAGTGCCTGTCGTTATGTCAACATGTTTTCTACTTTCTGCAGCAGATAGATGACGCACTCGTGAAACAGGTAGCGGTTTAGATATTTGCCAGGGTTTCAACTTTTATTCTTGAAAATGGTCAAGATGATCAATAGTGAGCAGACGACCTCTTCGCGAGTGGGCGGCATGGGTCTCCTAAGTGAAAGACTTGGACGCATGGTGGGTTTTCCGGCTGGCTTGCATTTTCTTTACTCCCACCTGTTCACATATTGCGACAGTCTATGTAGATCGAGGATGTGCCACGAAGCATGATGTCGAATTACATGTCGCAAGGATGTCCATCTACACGTAAACTTGAGAGACGGGCCCTGGATACAAACGAATCGTGCCTGCAAGGTTGATGCGATGCAAATCGGCTTGGTCCAAGAGCAACAAGAACCGGTGCTCAGGATGGGCGCACGGCTGTGCAACTCACACAGGGCAATTTTTTTTGTCTGCAAAAGCAAGAGTGTTCTAGAACCATGTTGCCGATGTTGCGTACACTAATATGGTGTCCCCGAAGGCCTCGATGCGGCGAGCTTCCAAGATGAGCTATGATGTGTTCCGTGTAGATCGGCGAAGGAAAACAGCAAAAGGCTTTGGAGAGAGAACGGTGCTCTGCCTGCAACTTTGGGGCAAGTTTTGTCGGAAGCTGGGAGGATTCATCGAGATGTCGAAGGCTCGATACGAATCATCGGGCAAGGAAGTGCCAGCGGACTGTAGAAGAGCAGCTACTTATATTCGCACTCGACAGTTCAGCATGCTGTAGATTTCGTGAACCCTTGGACAGAATTGAACTAGGTCGAGGGTGAGGATGTGTACAAGCTTGAAAGCATGAAGAAACCAGCATCAGGGGCACTTGCCTCCGACAGGCGCCGAGAGCTTGTTTGCCGGATCTGCATGCTACAGGCTTTGTTCTTGCATTGAACGCTAAGGCCTTACACAGCGGCAGCTGGAGTCAGCCATCTTGAGGCCAGTGTTTTCGTTGTTGGAGCACTGTTCGCAAACTTCAAGCGAGCCTTACTGCTTCATTGCCGCAGGCAATGCGCCGCCGGCCGAGATCGGCTTGATCGAAGGAGACATCCCCGAAAGTCTCGAGAGCGGTGCCTGGAGACTGGGATTTCACAGGATGGCGAAGGGTGTGAAGATCATCTCGGTACGTCCCTCCCGCGAGGTTCGTTTTCAAGCTAGCGAAGTAAGCCCTCTTCTTTTCTGCGCCTGCTGCCAGGGCTTCCCGCGAAAATGGTTCAGACGCGAGGGCAGGCGAATGACAATGCGAGGTTCAGCAGAATGGTGCCCCAGTGCAAAGTAGTCCGGGCTCTGACGACGTCTCAAGATGGTCCATGCTTAAATGTTCACACAGCGCCACAAAGCATTGAAGTTTGAACATCGTGACTCTGAGTCCATGCAAGACGACTTACAATCCGAGCCAGGAAGCTTAATTTTTTGCTTCATGGTTGAACTTGTACTGACTCTAACAGGTCCATGCAAGATCCATCTTCTTCAGGTACATACCACCGAAAGCAGATGGAACACGTAGCTCGCTTTGCCCGTTTACTGTTGTGAGCAGCTGAGTTGAGCTGTCGCCGTTGACAAACTCGGCCAGGAATGCTTTTCCTCCATGGTGGCAGCTATGTCGTTTATGCTCCGCAGGATGCGGTGTATCGCTCGCTGGCATCCCGATTAGCCTCTCGCTGTGGTGTGCCGACTTGAATTAGTGTGCTTATCTGTCATGTCTCATCCACAAATCAACCAAGTTCATGAGGCGGAACTGAACTCACATCTATTTGTGCATGGTCGATGTGTGCATAGCCGCCTTCTCAAGCAGGGAACCTCCACACAAACCCAAGAAGTTCCGGGAGAGTGCTCGTAGCATTGGCAGATACTGGCAGGTTTGTGCGTGCTGTCCATTGACTACCGACTCGCGCCAGAACACCTCTTTCCGGCGGCTTTCGAGGCCACGTGTGCAGTCTTGCGACGGCCCTTGCGTCGCATGTGTGCTGTGTGCGTGGAGGATGCATCTGCCGCATTGAAGTGGATACAGCAACACGGACCACCTGAAGAAGGAGGCATCATAGCAACATAGGGATCAGGAGCAGTGCTGGCAGGTCAGAGTATGGACAGGCTGGACTCATAGATTTCTGCCCGGCCAGGGATGTTAAATTTTGCTTTTTGGTTTGTGTTGTTTTCCATCTTGGTTTTGCTTTGTTGTTTGCTTTTGGGTTTAGTTGGTCTTTCTGGTTCCAGGTTTTGCGGTTTTTGCTTCGCAGTTTCTGTGTGTGTTGTAGCAGTTTTTGTTGTTGTTGTGCGTTCTGCGTGTACTCTGTGCTTTGTGGCTTTTGTAGGGCTCTGCTTGGTCTTGAGTTTCGTTGCAATTCGAAGCGGCTTGTGTTGCGGCCGCATTTCGGGTTTGACATTGTTATTGGATTCGGAGGTCTTGAAGGACTGTCATCGCTGCCGGCTGTTACGTTAAGCGTCGATTAAAGGCTTTGTGCTTCATGTGTTGGGCGTGTCCATTCATGCTGGCTCCCTCTTTGCTTGCTGCACCGCCCTGGCTGGTGATATACGACGATGACCGCAAATCTCATGCGGGGGAAGGAAGCAGTAGCATGCGGGGGAAGGAAGCAGTAGCACGACCAAGATGAAACTCAGACTGTGCCCATTTTGGTCTTATGGTGAACATGACAAAGTGACATTTTCAACAATACGGCTAGCGGCCCGCCATGAGCTTACCCGAGTGGGTTGGGCAGGTGCAAGTATCAGGTTTCCCAAGAAAGGACGCGAGTATCATGAGCTGTGGAGCATTCTCTAGAAGCGCGACAGAACTCAACAACCCACTTGGCTGCGCATTGGTACCTGATTTTTGGGGCTGGGCTGGGCAGTGGGCTGGAGGGAAGGAGAGGGAAGGAAATGCAAAGGTCAAAGCAGACTCATGGCAGGAAAAGGGAAAGCAAGTGAAGGCAAAGGCACAGCAGCAAACGAAAGCAAAGCAAACGCACAAACGCAAAATCCCAAGCCACCGACCTTGCAGGGCTCCGCCCACTGAAAAAGGCGAAATGTAACCTAGGTGGTCTAGAGTTGTGTTGGTTTTTGTTGCTTTTCCTAGTATGTTGTTAGCTGCTTTCATTTTTGCATTTCTGCTAGCTGAGCTCACCCCCGAGCGAACATCGAGATGGAACCCAACACGATCTTGATTTTGGTCCAGTGAAAGCGACCGCTTTGATGATTATCGTGCCACTTGTGATTTGCTTACTTTACAGGGTTTCATCTTACAGCCTGCGTAAGTCCTTGCTTGGGTCTACGGACCGGAGGACACTGTTGCTGGAGTGCGTGCTTGGTCCTTCGGGGGGGCACACGGCTCTATGCTCTCTTTTCTTTCTTCTGTATCGGATCACCTATGTGAGGACCCAGTTGCCGTTCAATACGCATGTCTTTACAGATCGCTACGTTCGGACGCCGAACAGCGCTTCAAAGTCAAAAAGTCACCGCTTTGTTCGCATCGCTGTAGCCACTCAAATTTATTTGTCAGAAGGCCACGGGCCAGCATCATCAGCATTAGTTGAGATTCGCCGCATTGTTGCGTGGGTGTAAGCTTTTTCTTGTTTCCAAGCAACTGGAAAACCGCACTACGTCAAAGAGGGAAATGTGCCAAACATGCACACAAAACGCCAACATTCATGACAGACAAACTCGAGGCCGGGAACACAATAAGGCATTCAATAAGGGTGAACACATAATGAAGCAGTCATAACTCAACCAAAAGATATGCAGCCCACTTGGGCTGCTGCGGGCAACGAAGCACTGGGCTGCCATTGTGCATGCGTGGAGGGGGGTGGGGCGGGGAGGGAAGGGCGCCGCGTCCTTGGCCTCTTTCCATAACTGCTTGGCGGACATGCTCATGTATGCTGATACTTCCAGTCACGAACAGTTTGAGGAATGAGCGTCTTATGCTGATGTAAGCAGTCACATGCGAGGACAAGGAAACAAGAAACGGAATCATGCAAAGCAGACGGGGGGGAAAGGAAGGAAGGAGGACGGATGGGAGGGGGGCCGGGCAGGGGGGGGTTGTCGGGGGGTACAGCGGGAGGAAAGGGGGGGGGACATGGGGGGCTTGGTAGTTTAAGGCGTAGCGCGGACGTGTCTTGCATGGCCGCAACTTTTAGGCTGAAGCATCTAAAGATGAAGTGTCGCTGGTGTGAGAGGCATCGCTGTCCGGAACGCCGAGTGTGGACAAATAATGACAGAATGTTTTCGAATGAATTTCGTACATTCAAAATTCGTCTTGAGGACTGGACTGCTAACTGCCCTTAAGTTCCAGCTTAAAAGCTCGCTGCAGTCCATTCATGATTGCGAGCGCAGCACGGGACTCTTGACGAATTTCGCTCGAGTTTCGCGTTCAACAAGTCAGACATCAAATCGCTAAACGTAGTTCAGCATGCTCATCAGAGGTCTTCGAAGCACAAGACCCCCGCAAACAACGTGCATCTGCTTTTGCGTGCTTTTTCCTCTCATTAACAATCCCAAAATAGCCCCCACATATCACTCGACTTCTGCGTCTCTGAAACCAGAAATACCACCCCAGCTCGAAGGGCATATTGAAAAGATGCAACATGCACTTCAAATCTGCAGAGGTGACAACAAGGTCATCCTCCGGGTGGAGTTGGAGAGAGTTCATCTGGGAAAGCAGCGGCTAAGTACTACCATCCCCTTCAAGTGGTTGAGAGATGGAGGCCGCGGAGGTCATATTGAATCACACCCGTGGCGAAATGCCCCAATCTTCACTTCGTACCATAACGCTGGAAGGACGACTTGGATACTTCCAAA